AGTGCCTGGCACATAGTATGTGCTCAGTAAATGGTAGCCACTCTGATGATGATGGTGTTGAGTAACAACTTGCTGGGTAACTTTAGGCCAGTAACTTCCCTGAGCTTCAAACTGTTCATCTGTAAAAGGCAAGCTAATAACAGTACCTGAGTCATTAGTTTAAAGCTGTAGATAAGAATTAAATGATGAAAAGTATTTGGCACAGGGCTTGGCACATAATCAGAGTTCCATAAGGATTTGCTGAATGATGGGGGAAAAAAATAAATAAATGCTATCACCGATGAAGAAGCTCAATCAGCAGGCCCAGAGCATTTAATTATTAGACACCGAGGGAGAAAAATAGGAACAGCCCTGGACTCGTTGTCAGTTACATTTGTTAGCAGCCGCAGACCTTCCTTTGCTCCCTTTGTCCTTGTTTCTCCACTCCTCTTGGCCCTTAGCACGCGCGTGTGCTGGAAAAGAGAAAACGCGATGCTGACTTACGCAAATGAAATCCCAGTATCACAACGGCACCGAGCAAGGCCTCTGGCAGGAAGGCCATAAATAACATTGCACCACTGCTCTGCCAGCAGAGCCAGCCGGCCATGGGGCCTCCCGGCCGCCCCCCTACCCCGGGCCCTCAAGCATTCTGGGCCGCCCCAGTCCCTCACCTCCCCATCGGCTGCCCCCTCCCAGGTCCGTTCTGCAGGACACTGACTCATGCTCTGAAGCCACCTGTCCGTCTTTGGCCCTCCAGGAGCACCCCCCGGGGAGAAGGCAACCTGGTAAACCAGGTACTGGCATAGCTGCTTAGCCAGCTAGCTACTCTGATGGGACTAATTGCAGTGTCTTTTAAATAGCATTTATGGTCTTAATTTCTAGTTACAAAAATGATACGTGTTTATTTTAGAAAATTTCAGGGGAAAAAATGGGGGAAAGAAACAAGCACACAGAAGAAAATAAAGATCTTGAGGCCCTGGTGATATTCCAGGCCAATTACATCAGATTTTCTACAAATGGGGTCATCCATCAGCATTGGGGTTTTTTTTTTGGTTTTTTTTTTTTTAATTCTGGAGGTGATTCTGGCGTCGCAGGCAAGGTTGAACCATCCCCTTGCCAATAACACTTTACAGTATTTCCTTCACTTTTCAGTTTTATATTTGTACCATATTATACATACTATTTGAAACTTGATTATGTTTTCTTTGGCCTAACACTATGTTATGAACATCTTCCAAATCATAAATACTCTTTAAAATATGATTTTAAAGACTGCTTATGTAGCTTTCCGTCTTATGGATGTACCTTAATTGTTTTTAACCAGTTCCCATTATTAGATGTTTTCTAAAATTTTGCTGATTAAAATAATTCTGGGATGTATTTCTACTCCTGTCTGTAATCACCTACTTAGCTAACACTTATGTAGCATGTAACCCTATGCTGGATACCGTTCTAAGGCATTGCATATATTTATTTCTTTTAATCCTCAAAACCAACCCAAGAGATAGATACTGTTATCATCCCTCCTTTAGAGATGAGGAAACTGAGACTCAAGAGAGGCTAAATCACATGACTGATTGGTGGTGAAGCCGACGTGGCTCCAGAGTCCACACTCTGTAATTGCAATTGCTGGGTGAATTATAAATACAGAGAACAAACTGATGGCTGCCAGTTCAGGGTGGGGTGGGGGTGAGGGGTTGGCCACAATGGGTGGAGGAGTTGGGCAAAATGGGAGGCCGCCAGTTACGGAATAAGTCAGTCACGGGAGTAACAGGTACAGCATAGGGAATAGAGTCAACGGGACCAATCATGGTTTCGTGATGACGGATGATGGCTACACTTGTAGGGGGCGTAGCATAACGTATCCAGTGATGTCGAGTCACGATGTTCTGCACCTGAAACTGGTATCACATTGTGTGTCAACTATAATCACACGCAAAAATAAAATTACTGAGTCAAAATATATGACATCTTTCAAGGCTTTCGAAACACATCGCCAGACAGTTCACCATTAATGTTGTATCCATTTATTTTGTCACCAGCAGTGTCTGTGAGCCAGTGTGTGTGTGTTGGAGGGTGGAGTGCTGGTCTCTGACTTTGAAAAAGAATTTTCAAACCCAATGGAAGCTGCAAATGTAAACATCCTCCTTATTGAAGGTTTATTACCTATGCAGAAAAAACTTTTTAGCAGGATTTTAAAAAGTGGTGTGTGTTTTATAGTGTGGCTCTGTAGTTGTAAATGGTGCGTCAAGCATGAGAGCTGGTATTGTTTCTGCGGTGGTAGGAAGAGGGGACTGTCAGAGGCCCTCACCCTGTGCTGTGTTACACAATTATCTTCTTTTTCACACCCCCCTTTTTTTGTAAGACAGAGAAAAGATCGACACCTCCATAGTGGTTGTTCACGGAAGAAGTGCTCTGAGAGAGACAGTATTATCCAGGAACAATCTGTAGCTCTTCTGATGTTTTGCTGAAGGACCTGGAGCCCCCTCTCGGGAGGAGTCTGATTTGACTGCCTCCAGCTGCTCATGGGGTGAGTGGAACTGGTTTTCTGGGAGCCCTGGGAGGAGGGCAGAGGGGCCCAAAGGCCAGGATGCCAAGGGAGTCCCAGGAAAGAGGAGCTAAGCCTGAGAGGAAGGCTTTATGAAAGCCCATTGAGAGCGTCCCTGTGAGCGTGAGAAACATACAAAGCCCTGTGTGCCACCTTCCTGGTTTCTGTGTGTATTTGTCATGTCCAGCCAGTAACTCGGTTATTATCATTTTCCTGTTGGAGGAAGATTGTAAACACTCAAGACTCTGTCATCCCCTCCCCCCACCACACATACACTATTACTGATATGTCTGAAGGATTTCCTACCTATAGCAGGAAAGCAAAAGAACTTCTCATAACTTTGAACTCCTTGAGGACAGGGGCCCGTATCTTTTATAATTATTACGGTATTCATTTTCAGTGGCTCCAGCAGGTCACAACTTTCATTTCTATTCACAGTGTACCCTATCCTATTGGTTGAAGCTTTGATGGGAGTTCTGTAAGTGGGCTCTATTTTTGTTGTTACAGAAGCCCAATTCTAGCTGTCTTACCAGAAGGGGAGTCCAGGATGGAGAGCAGGTATGACTGGAGTCAGAATTTTGAAGGATGTTGTTTCTGTTTGCCTCTCTGTCTCTGTCTCTCTCCCCTTCTCTGGGCTGGCCTCATTCCCTCCCACTTGGTGGGATCCCTTCACATGGTCAGGAGAGGTGTCTTCTCTTGAATTTTCTGTGTGTGTTCTGAGGGACAGAAATCCTCCGTTGTCTGGGTTGTTGCTAATCTGGATGGATGAAGCCTAGAGCTGCCTGTGGCTGTTTCCTGATATGTGAGGCCGTTCTAACCCAGTGGAGAGAGAGGACTGCTCTCTCCTAACACTCTTACGTTGATCCCAGAGAAACATCAGGCTTGGCTTGAGTCACATCAGGTCAGTCAACTACTGCAACCAGTGGAAGAACGTATGAGGAGGGGCCAGAGCATTTACATGGCACCCTATGTGTAGCAGTCTGTACTTGATGTTCACAGGAAAAGTGGGGAAAGAGTGTAAGGAAGACAAACCAACAGAGAACTGTGTCATCGTTCAGACTCATTGTTTTTCTAGCCCAGGGTTTTCACTGGGCAGGTTAATTGGGATTTTTATTTCTGTTGTTCATGCCATGTCCTTTCCAGTGCTTTTGTATCTGTAATAAGGCAAGGACTTGTTTTCATTAAAATCTGATTCTTTTGGGGCGCCTGGGTGGCGCAGTCGGTTAAGCGGCCGACTTCAGCCAGGTCACGATCTCGCGGTCCGTGAGTTCGAGCCCTGCGTCGGGCTCTGGGCTGATGGCTCGGAGCCTGGAGCCTGTTTCCGATTCTGTGTCTCCCTCTCTCGCTGCCCCTCCCCCGTTCATGCTCTGTCTCTCTCTGTCCCAAAAATAAATAAATAAACGTTGAAAAAAAAATTAAAAAAAAAAATCTGATTCTTTTAACCCTTCCTCTTCAGTCATTGTTTCCCTGTAATTCAAAAACATGCTGGTATCTTCACATTTATCACCACACTTCTCATATGAGGAGGTTTACCTTTGAAAGCTCCCTTTCTTGACCAGTTAAGACGTTAAGTCCCTTTACATATCATGTCTGGACACAGGCCTCCACTGCTGACTCTTGCAGGGCATGGGCGCCCCCTGGGCTGCTGAATCCCTTATCCTTTCTTGGTCGTGGTCTCCTGGCTGCCACAGAATAATGCGTAAGCTTACTTTCAAGCGCTGTCTCCATTTTGGGAGCAAAGAATGTCCTCATGAAGGACCCGGAAAAACTATTTCCCTTTTTGGCACTTCTGCCCTTTTATGCAGTCTGGTTTTGTTCTCTGTGTGTAAATAGAGGAGGGACTCATTGTTTGCCCCTCCACCTTTTAGCTGGGCTATATTTTGCCTTTGGCTGGCAGGGCAAACTTTGGAATAAGACAAACTTGGGTTCACATCCCAACTTCACTATTCACTTGCTGAGGGCTCTTCAGTGAGATGGGCTTTTCAAAATATCTTTCAGCATCGGTTCCCTCTCCTATAAATGGAGGGAAACAATGGTGCCTGCCTCATAGGGTGGCCATATTGCTTCATGAGTCACATGGACCCACAAAGCCCAGCACCCAGTAGATGTTCAGTAGATGTGAATTCTCTTCCTCCCCGCAAAGACACTTGATTTGTTTTCTGTCACCCTGGGCATTAGCTCTGCACTGACTCACCACATCTATATATCCCATAAAAGTTGCCAGTCCGTGGACTCTTTTTAAATATATTCATGTTTTCCATATTCTAAAGAAGCTGGCCATTAGGAATAATCTTAAAGGTAGTTACTCTTTGGTAAAGGCCTTCCCTACTTTTTTCTTCTGTATAGAAATAGCTTTTCCTTTTATTCTTTCTGGTGTAACAGAGATTTCTCCCTCCTCCCCCATCCTGTTTAGCATCTGCTCCATTTGCCCATTGAAAGAACACACTCTCTTCTTTACAGAACTGTTCCTCTTTCACCTCTGGTTGGGGTGGACTGAGGGGTATCATGTGACCAAGACTGGACCAGTCCTCATATGTCATACCCCTTGCCACAGTGATTGGCTCAGTGGTGGCCCTGTGACCCAAGTTTGGTCTTTCCCTTGAGTTTTACCCGCGGGGTCTGGGACAGCAAAATCCTCTTTCTCTGTGTATGTTGCTAATCTGGGTTGATGAAGCCTGGAGCTGCCTCTGCCATGCCTTCTGCTGTGTGGACAGAACTCTTTCATCTTAAGAAAGAATGAGTCCAACACATGGAGAGAAGCAGAGAGCTAAGATATGGGGTGAGAAGGGAGCAGGGGAAGGAGGCCAAGAGAGATGCTCTCGTCATTTGATTTCCTGGGGATAGCTGTAGTCTCTCACAGCCAGTGAGTTCTGACTTTTCCTTAAGCCAGATTGGGTTCAGCTTCTGTTCCTTGAAGTCAAAGATTCTAATAAATGTGTTGGTATATTTAAGGTAATGGCCCCCTTATAAATGAGAGTTGTGTTTATGTCACAACAAAATCCTGACCGCTAATCTAAGCTGCTAATATGGCACAAGAGTCATACACTGAATTCTTACAGAGGGCAAAATTATCTGGGGTTATGGAACCCCTCCCAGTTTTGTACCACTGGGACCTGGCATAGTACCATGGGACCTGGCACATAGAAAGCCTCAATCTCTACTCAGTAAAGTAGGGTAGTGAGGGAGGATCTAACTGGTTCAGGTGGTCAGTCATCCTCTAGTCCAGGGGGTCCCATCGGCTAGGCAGTGGCTCCCACACAGGCCTCAGTTAGCCCACAGCCTGGGTCTCTATGGGTCAGGCCAGATGTGGGTAGGGATCCACGATGCAGAAAATCACTTCTTTTGCGTTAAGAGTTCTTTAATTTGACTGGGTATGGCAAGTTCTCTGAGTCTCACAAAGGGGACCAAATAGCAGCTGGGCACTTAACGTGGCTTGCCCAGACCGTTTGAATCCTCCCATTAGAGCCCTCAGTGAAGGATTTGGAAAGGTACTGGGGGAATTCCAGAAAAAGACAAACTACTCCTGTCCTGCTGAGGGTCTCCCCTTGAGCTTCTCTTCCAGAGGAGCGCTGTGACCCCAGACAAAGAGAGGAGTTCTGGGAAGCCACGGGAGCCTGCACAACTGCCAAAGAATGGCTGACTCCAGAGCGACCGACCGAGGCCTGCTGGTGAGAAACCTACCCCAAGCTACGGTGAGGCCACCACAGTGTGACTCGTACACAGCCTCTGCTGGGGATGAGGGCCTGGGGAAGCAATAACATTCCCCGTGTCAGCCCAGCTCTGGCCTTGTCCCCAGGCCCTGTTCCCACTGTAAGCTGACACTGGCCGGGAAGGGCCTCTCGTCTCCTCCTCCAGGGGTCAGGAGGCCTCCAGGGCAACATCTATTCTCAGACACAGAGCAGCTGCCTGTGGAGGCTTCAGAGAGAGTGTGAGGAAAGCAGGCACCTCTGTGAGGGGGGCAGGGCAGGAGATCTGGCTCCTCCAGGGGACTTGGCTTTGGAAGATTGGCACTTGAAGTTGATTTTAATCTTGGCCCTGTCTACACAACAATAGAGTCAACTGGATTACAGTGGGTTGGAACCAGAGGGGCATAGCATAGGAATCTGGACACTTGGGGAATTGGCCCCCCTCTTCCCCCTGAGCCGTGGTGGGACCAGGGCCAAGACTTCAGTTTCTGTGAGCCTCAGTCTCCTCAATGGTAAGTTGAGAAATCTTGGCCCACATGCTCTTGGAGGATTTCTCTTGGTGAGTAATCCACACTTTCCCATCAAATGATGGATCTAAATTCACTTGTTCTGTTGAGATAACCCATATAGAAGAGATGAGGCTCAAAGTTAAGTTTCCTCGTAGACAGTATAGGCAGATGGATGCGAAGCAACATTATTCCAAAAAGAGTGACAGTAGTTATAATTATAACCCAAAGGACAGCAACAAAGCACCATTTAAAAAATACTATGAGCCAGGTACTCTATGACTGATTTTACGGTACATGACCTGGTGTAATCCTTTATAATACTCTTCGAGGGTGGACATTATGGTTCCCTTTATGGCGATGAAACTACTGAGGCTCAGAGAAGTTAAATTACTTGCTCAACATCTTGGTGTTAAAAAGGTGGTGGAGCTGGGATTTGAACCCGGGTCTGCTTGATTCTAAATCCCTCGTTCCTATCTACTCTGTTATCAAGCGGGTGAGTGGCGCCTTCCACCTTCTGCTGTGAAGACACAGACATGTAGAGGCAGCAATTGCTCACAATCCTGCCTGGAAGTCGGGGCTGATGGCTTCTCAACTGTGACTGTGTCACAGACAGCCTTCGGCACTGTAACCCCAGACTTCTTTTTTCCATCTCCATCATTCGCCTTTTCCCCACCACCCTCACCAAACTTGTGCTCCCCTCAGCACACATCCCTGCTCAGGCAAGGTTCGGATGCCATCCCATTTTCGAAGATGTTCTCTGATTTTTTGCTTCTGGAATAGCCCGTGCCATGTTTTGTAATTATATTTTGGTCGGTATTTATCCAGTAAGTATTTACTGAGTAACTCCGTGTGCTTCGCACTGTGTTAGGTGCTTGTGAATTTTCTCCTGCTCATTTTCCCTGCCTCCAGGCACCCAACACACAATCGAGCTCACAGGTTGCTTTTCTTTTCTTTTCTTTTCTTTTCTTTTCTTTTCTTTTCTTTTCTCTTCTCTTCTCTTCTCTTCTTTTCTTTTCTTTTTCCCCCCCTTTTTTCCAGAGATCTGTCTTATTTCCCTTGACAAAGCCTAGCACACTGAAGATACTCAATAGCTATTTAAAGTGGACTCATGATCCAGAACTTATCTCACTTTTAAATAATGGCCTGTTTCTTCCTTACATCCCCCACTAGGTTCTTAGACTCTCGTGGATAGGAGCTGGCACAGAAGGGGAATTTGACACATGTTTATTGAATGAATGGTCAGTGAGAAGTATGAGTTCTGGGGAGGAAATATGCTACTTCTACAGGCATGGATCAAGCACCACCGAGATCATGAGTGAACACCATGAAGAGTAAACACCATGCGGATCTCATGTTTTCAGGACCCCAAGTGTCCAGTGACTAGAATGATACACACAAAGTAACATGGCAAAGATTCAGCAGAAGGAGAAACCGGGTACCACTGAGACACCCTCCCTGACCAGAATCACTGTTGGTCACTGGTCACTGGTCACTTCCTCAGCCCACCTGTGGCTCTAATTCCCACAGCATCCTTCCCTTGGGAGGCTTTGGCCTCTGGGAAGAAATGAATGTGGCCCTCGAGAGAGCCCTGCATTCTTGCACAGGTGAGCACCCCATCCAATTCAATGTGAACTCAAGTAGAAAGGATTGTGACCTTTCCAGAGGCCAGAATCATTGTTCTGGAACTGGAAGGGGCCACGGCAGTTCTTTGGCCTGGTTCTAATCTTCTGTCTGAAGAAATCATTGTAGTGGGGTGCGACTATTCTAATGCCTGGCCCCAGAATTCTCTTCTGGAGGAGAACTGTTTTAGACCCTGAGGGCGAAGTTGGCAAGAGACAAAATGATGAAGAGAGAACTGGTGTCTTGTGCATAAAAATAAATAGGGACTTAGGGTGAGAGACTCTGAAGGAAAGGAAGTACAGGAGGAGGGGACTTCTCAGGGGGAAATGAAACTTGAAACTTATACTTGTGGAAATTTTAAGAACAAGGATGTCTAATTTTTGATTGCACAGTTTTTATTTGTGAGTGCTGTAAACCATTCTCTCTCTTCGATAAAGATTCCCCCCCCACACACACATCCCTTGTATAAGTGGGTCTTAGGGAAGAAGAGAGAAATTGAGGAAAACGTGAATTCCCCATGTGTATTGGCACTGACAGCCTACACAGGATGGGGAGATTATCCATAAACTAAAATAGTTCAGTGGAAGCAGGTGATTAAGGAAGTCCTCAGAAGGGTGGACAGGAATGAGGTTTGTGCTTCGCATGTAGGATGGGGTCTCAAACCAATTTTTATTTGACTCTCAAAGAGCAGGGGCATTCCCTAGGGTTCTTTGGTTGTAAGTAATAGGCTAAAAAGCAACTAAGCCAACTTATTAGGTGGCTTAGCTCAGAGAAGTGAAGGGAAAAATCCAACAGTCAGTTCCCAATGAACAGGAACCTGCCACTTCAGGGCATCCCCAAAGGAGAGAATCAGCCCAGCCTTTGGGCATGCTGACGAGGTTCCTGCCAAGATCAGATCCTAGAGAGAGGGAGTCCTGTGGACAAGTCTGGGTCAGCTGTGCCACCATCCCACCCCCTCACTTGGCTGGAGTAACATGGAGTAGGGGTGTCATCATTGACCATCTTCTCGGAACCACATGAGAGAGTAAGGGGAGGGTTTTCAAAGGAAGGAAAGGGGGTACTTCAGCCAAGACTCAGAGGAAGGGATGTTAGGCAAGCAGAAATAGCAGATGTCTGCACTCATAGGGTGTCTCAGCTATGAGATGTTACTGCTGGCACTTAATGGTGGATTGGTAAGATACCCAACCCCCTCACTACGTCTTGAAATTAATTTCACAACAGGCCTATGGTTAGACCTGAGCAATGCTCCAGCATGTGGCTGGCAAATGGAGGAGGAAGGAGAGAAGCTGAAAATCCAGTCCCTTGTGTTCCAGTGCTCGGCCTTTTCCCTACAGTAAGCTCCCTGGCTCCCCCTCACCTCTAAGCCTTTGCTTGAGCTGTGTCCTCTGCCTGAAATTCCTTCCCCTTTCTTTGCTACCTGTTAATTCATTTTGTTCTTTAAGACTCAAGAGTATCACCTGAAAGAAACTTTCTCTAACTGTCCCCTTCCCCATGGGTTAGGTGTCTCTCTTCTACGTATATCTTTATTTTATTTCATCTTCCAAGTATATATTGTTTATCAAAATAGTTAACGTAAGCACGTGGTACGAAGTTCAACTATGCAAAAGGTATAAAGAGAAAAATTGGCTTCTCGTCACCTGTGAGTCCAGTTTGCCCCATGAAAGCCACCATTCTTTTCTGTGTCTCCTTCTAGAACACACATGTGCATGCTCACATGTGCACACACACACGCTCGCACACACGCACGCACTACCACCGTCACTCTAAGGACCTGCCTCCCCAGACCCCGAACCCACTGAGGGCGAGGTCTCATTTGCGTCTGGGGCTCCAGCAGCTAGGACACCCTGGTTCTCTGCAAAGTTCAGCTACCGACTGCTAAGAGCCACCTTCTTGCAGAAGCGAGAAGTGGGAGGGAAGGGGGACAGATTCTGTCTGAGATCACTTGATGCCACGCTCTGGGATCTACGAGTTGCTTTTAATTTCCTGTGCTCGGCCGCTGGCAGCCTGATGAAATGAAGCAGATAGCAAGACTTCAGATCTGGCCCTGCCTGGCCCGGGGCTTGTCTGCTTGCTGCAGGGCCGTGACCTCCAGACCCCGAAGAGAGAAGAACAGAGTGCATTGCCCAGCCTTCTTGCCCAGAAGGAGGCTGGGAGTTCACAGGATGAGGCAGCACCCTTATGGTTTGGGGCGTGGGGAGGAGAGGTGGTGCAGAGAGCTCACTACTTGGGCAAACAGAGAGGGTTAGGGTCCTGGCTGTGTCGCCTCCTGGCTTCTGCTCCCTGAACCTGCTTCCTCAAACATAAATGGAGGGTATTAGTAGCATCTACTTAACTGAGTTCTTATGAGGATTCAGAGAGAATGAATTCAACGTGCAAGGCGAGGTGCCTGAACCCTGGCGCACACTGAGTTGGTGGCTGGTATTGTCATTCTCTCTATTGTCCACATGGTCATCAGGATCAGCCTCTGCAAAATGGTTCCTACTGGCAACTGTCATCTATCTTTCCTTTGGGCACTCTTTTTCCCTTCTAGGCACTGTGTTCTTATCTTTTGTCATCTCTCCTGATGTGGCTGCCACTCCTGCCACCACCACGGATTCAGTGTTGGCTCTGTGCCAGGCACTTGCCCTGAGGGTGGGGTGTGCTGGCTAATCATTACAACAGCGGTGATTCTCCCTGCAAGCCCGAGAAAATGGAGTCACGGAGGCTTGTGGCTCCACCATGCATCCCTCCACAAGGTCCCTGTGGTCTGCCTGCTACCTCTCCTCGTCACCTGTATGATGCACGTGCTGTAACTGCTTTCCTTGCTTCCACCCTGCCTCCAAGCACCCATTCTCCACACAGCAGGAAGTGACCTTAGGGATTTGGGCAAAGACCTGGAGAGGGTCTTTCACCATATAAATCAGGTTGTGCTCCTTCTTTGTTTAAAATCCTCATCAGTAAGACGAGGACTAATGAGCACATCTACTTCCTAAGGTTGACATGAGTAATAAAGGACAGACCTCACCTTAAAGGGTTAGCACGTGGTGAGTGCTTGGGAATGTGGTGCCTCTTCTTATGGGGAACATAACAGTCCCTGTCCTCTTGGACCAGATTTGTTTGACATTCCTTTGATACTGATGATGAGAGAAGAGACCTGTCCTCACTTGCTCCTTGGTCTCCTGTCCTCATTGGCTCTGTAGTCTTGGCTAAGCCACTTAGCACCGTCTGAGCCTCTGTTTTGTCATCTGTGAAGTGGGAGTAATAATGGTACCTGCCTCATAAGGTTGTTCTGAGTATCAGGTGAGATAGCGCATGAAGAACTCGACATGATGCCGCACAGTAAGTGCTGAACAAATGGGAGCTGTGCACTCTGGTTATAATTGCTACATATAGCTGCATCTTTGGGAGGGGCTGGCTTTCCCCAACCACTATCTTTGGCATCCCCTCCTGGCATGATTGCTGCAGTTTTCCACCTCTGGGGTGAGAACTAGACTCTAACACCCTTTATCTGGCAAATAAAATAAAGAGGTACATAGAAGGGGCTTTCTTCTCGCGTCTGCCTTGGCTCCTTGCTATTTGGGGGCTGTGTGCCTTTTGTCGGGTGAGGCTATTGCTACAGCAGGACCGGGCTGCCATGCGCTGGTGACCGGCTCTAGCTTCTGCACCCTAGTGTTGACTTTGGCAACAGGGACTTTGGAGGAGGGCTGCCATGGTCACATTCTTCAAAGCAACAGAGAGAAAACAGCGCAGCCCTTGCCAATTTCCTTGAGCTCCCAGGGAAAGAAACAGAAACAAGTAACATGAGTAACAACACGAAAATGAGATTGAAAGCGTGTTGGAAAGAGCCGAAAGCCTTAGGGGCATGCTTCAGGAACCGCACTGTTGCTGTTTGGCTGCCCCAAATTTTGTATTCTGCTGGGTGTGGCACGCTAGCTAAAGAGAGGTAGAATTCCACTGTTGGAGGGGTGGAGCCAAGAGCCCCGGGGACCGGGCACCAGGGGAGAGGGGTAGATCCTGGGAAAACCGGAAAGAGAAAGTAGTGATGTCTATAGTAGACCAACAGTTTTTCTGGGTAGTATGTGTTATAACCCTCTCTCCACCCTCCGGTTCAATTTACAATGACACCTGCATTAATCTCCAGCGTATGGGGAATTAAGTTTGTTCTGAGGGGTGTGGCAGAGTGCTGAATGTTAACTCAAGGTTGGCCTTAAGCCAGAGCAGAGGCAGTCAAAGGGACCCCTGCACGTATTGACTGTATGCAGATGCAGGGACCTGCTTACCTCTATAGATTTCACCATCCACAGGAAATAAAAAAGTGATATACAGAGAGCACTCAGATTACTGTATTAGTGTGAAATAATAATAATAAAAAAAAAACTGGTATAAACCTGTCCTCCCACCCTTACCCCCTAGAAAGAGAAGCCAACACTGTATAGTGAAAATCCAGTTGAAGGAGATTATGTGGGATCTTTTGCAATGGGAGGAGGAGAAAGGAAATATTTCTTAAGACTAGAGAGAGCCAGAAGTTGTTGACTCCTTGAGACTGGTGTTCCTTTTATCTATTGCTTCTTAAAGGAACACCCCAAAACTTGGTGGCTTAGAACAACAACATGTATTTTACTCATGAATTGGCAGGTTAGCCAGGGGTTGGTGAGAACAATGCACCTCTCTCTCTTTCTCTCTCTCTCTCTCTCTGTCTCCACTCAGCTGGGGCGTCTGGAAGGTTGGGGCTGAGTCCTCTCAAGTCTGTTTGCTCACATGCCTGACAATTAATACTGGCTGTCAGTGGGGCCTTCACTGGGGCTGCCTGCCAGAACACGTACACTTCTCATGGCCGGGGCTTCCTTCTTGCCACATGGTGGCTGGGCTCCAAGGGCAAGCATCTTGGGAGAGAGAGCCGGGCAGGAGCCGTGTTACCTTTTCTAACCTAGCCTGAGAAGTCCCGCAGCCTCCCGTGGACTACGTTCTAGTCACCACATGTATTAATCTGCTAGTGCTGCCATAGCAAAGCACCACAGACTGGGAGGCTTAAGCAACAGAAATTTATTTCTCACAGTTCTGGAGGCTGGAAGTCCAAGATCAAGGTTTTATCAGGATTGGTTTCTTCCGAGGCCCCTCTCCTTGGCTTGTGGAGACTGTCGTCTCCCCGTGTCTTCATTGGGTCTTCCCTTGGTGTGTGTTTTTGGGTCCTAATCGTTTCTCATAAGGACCCACCCAAATGGCCTCAATTTAACTTATTTACCTCTTTAAAGGCACTATCTCCAAACAGTCACGTTCTTAGGTACTGGGGGATTAGGGCTTCAATGCATGAATTTTAAGGGGCAGCAGTGGAGGGAGAGACATAATTCAGCCTGTAACACCAAAGCTAGTCCATATTCAAAGGGAGGGGAATTAAATTCTCCCTTTTGAT